TCCATTTCCAAGCACAACATATTATTATTTCTCATGGTTGTGTAGGCTGATTTGGCTCAGTGGGGATTCTTCTGTTTCTGACCTTGTTGATGGGGCTGGGAGTCACTTGGGACCCCTGGGGATGGGAGAAGAGGACTGTCGGAAGGTTGTCTCAGGTTGTAACTGGGACTTACTTGGGTTCTTAGCTTAGACTGGTCCCTGCAGGGCAAGGTTTCCTCCATGCAATGTGGGCTTTCGAGAGCATGGCAGCTGAGTTCTAAGAAGAAAGAGAGAAACAGCATCTTGCAGTGTCGAGAAATCCCACGAGATCGTTTCCACTGTTTTCATTGGTCGAGTAGTGAAATACAACCGTAATTCCAGAAAGAGGAAATAAAGTCCACCTTTAGATGGAGGAGTGGCCTGAGCAAACAGAGAAGAAGGAAGGGGAACAGACAAATGGCTAGAGTGTGCCACTTCCTTGGCTTCAATTTAAGTTTAGGGTAGTATTCCCCGGCTGTCACGCAGTGTATGATCATGTCCGTGTCCCACTGAAACCTTACAAGGTCAGCATGGAGGTTGCTTCCTCTTGGAAGCCTTCTCTGACACATTTCATTTAGAAGCCTGTCCTTGGGGATTCCCAAAGAACTTGCGTACGTTTTTCATTGGTAGTAGATACGCTTCCTGTGACTGTACGTTTGCTATAGATAGGGATCAAGAACTCCAGAGAAGAGACCAGTGTGACAATAATAGTTGGAAATGATCACACTGCATAATGAGTATTGAAAGTAGGTAAAGGGATATGCGTGATAACCTTCAGTATCTGCAAACCACAATGCCCCAAAGGGGAGAGGGAGGAAGGGAGGGAGGGAGGGAGGGAGAGAGGGAGGGAGTGGGGGGTACCTGCTATAGAGGCAGGCTGTGGGGGGGGGGGAAGTTTGGGGATGATGGGAGGGAAACTGAGGACATTGGTGCTGGGAAATGTACACTGGTGAAGGGACAGGTGTTAAAGCACTGTATGACTGAAACGTAATCATGATCTCTCTTATGGCGATTCAATAAGTAAAAGTAAAGTAAAAGGCCCTCCCGTTGATCATCGATTTGCTCGAGCGGGCCCAGTAACGTCTCCATTGGAGACTTTGTTGTTACTGTGTTTGGCATATCGAATACGTCACGGGTGGCTTGCCAGGCTCTGCCGTGCGGGCGAGATACTCTCGGTAGCTTGCCGGGCTCTCCGAGAGGGGCGGAGGAATCGAACTCGGGTCGGCCATGTTGGCTGCGTGCAAGGCAAACGCCCTACCGCTGTGCTATCGCTCGCGATTCAATATTTTTTTTTTTTAAGAAGAACTTGGATTTGGGGGCTGGAGTGATAGCACAGCAGGTAGGGCGTTTGCCTTGCACACAGCCAAACCGGGTTCGATTCCCAGCATCCCATAGGGTCCCCTGAGCACCGCCAGGAGTAATTCCTGAGTGCAAAGCCAGGAGTAACCCCTGTGCATTGCCGGGTGTGACCCAAAAAGCAAAAAAAAAAAAAAAGAAAACTTGGGTTTCTTTCTTCCATCTTTCTTGGTGTCCGTTCTTCTTCTCTTTCCTTCCTTCTCTCCTGCTCTCTTGCTTCCTTTCTTCCATAAATGTGTATAATCTACTATAGGCAAACATGAATCAAGAAAGCTAGAGACTCTACAGTAAGCTAAACAGACACTTTCCCTGCTCTCCTCTTGGAGGTTAGAGACCAGAGAAGGAGATGAACTATGGGAGTTGTAGTAGGGCTCATCATTATGAAGAAAATAAGGTGATGAGACTGTGTTTGCACATGTGTGTGCACACATGTATGAGTGTGTAACACTTTACCAGATCCAAAGGGAAGGCATTGTAGCAGGAACAGGAATTACAGGGTGGAGAGACAGTTCAGTGGATAAGCAAGTAGCATGACCTGGGTTTGATCCCCGGCATCCTATATGGTTCCCTGAGCTGGCCAAGAGTGATTCCTGAGTGCAGACCTAGGACTAACCCCTGAGCATCTCCAGGTGTGGCCCCAAAACCAGAAAAAGAAAAAAAGAAAAAAAACAAAAAGAGATGTGAATGACAGTGAGGGAAAGTCAGAGGAAAGAAAGTTCCAAACAGCAAAGCAAAGAGTGAGGGAACGGCCCGGAGGCAGGAGCGTACTTGCAATGTTCGGGAAACGTCAGGAATGTCTGAGTCTGGCCTGGACTGACTTGAGAAGAGATATGTGTCTGAGATCAGAGAAGGAAGCAGAGATCAACCAGAGTTGTGGTTTTACCCCAAATGCAATGCGAAGCTGTCGGATGTGTTTTGGTGGAAGTGGTTTGATTCCTTTTTTTTTTTTTTTTATAGTTTTTGGTTTTGTTTTTGGGTCACACCTGGCTGTGCTCAAAACTTACTCCTGGTTCTGTGCTCAGGATCCATTTCTGGTTGTACTTGGGGGATCATCTGGGATGCGGGGATTGAACCTGGGTTGGCTGCAAGGCACTATCTTACTTGCTGCCTATTTCCCCACTGTCTCTGGAGTGGCGTGCTTTTGTATGTGACTTTTCAAAGATCTTGTAGAGTGTGGGGGACTGCTCAGTTTGGTGCAGGAGACCAAAGGGAGAAGCGAGGAGCCATAGGGGTTGAAGCAATAGTATAGAGGGTAAAGCAGCTGACCAATCAGGTTTAATCCCTAGCATCCCGTGTGGTCCCTCAGCCCTGTCAGGAGTGATCCCGGAGGACAGAGACAGGAGTAAGCCCTGAGCACTTCTGGATATGGCCCCCAAGCAAAAATTAAGTAAAAGGAACCTTAAGAGTGAGCCCTGGCGGTTCAGGTGAGAGGTCTACAAGGATTTTAGTATTTTCTCTTCCTCCTCTAGATTCTCAATCTGAAACATAGAATTTGTGATTGGCAGCCTGATGGGGGAGTGAATTCATCCACACAGGACAAATTTTGCAGGACAAATAAAGTTTACTCCGTATGGAGTAAACCCACACTATTATTATAAGTTCTATGATGGCCCACATTTGTGCTAAGATGTAGGGGAAGTACAAGAGACAAAAAGCCCTTCCTCGAGGGAGCTTTATTCTGGTGAGAAAGAGATAGTAAGTACCAAGTAAATAAGAACATACAGTGTTCCCAAATGACTAAGGTGCTATGAAAAGACAGGAATCTAGGAAGTGGGACCAGGAAAGCTGCCACAGATGTGGGTGGGAACCTAAAATAAAGAAATTACAGGGCGCAGAGAGATATCGCTTTGCATGAGGCTGATCCTGGTTCTACCACCAGCAGTGCATATGTTCCCCTGAGTCCAACCAGATGTGACCTCTGCGGGGAAAGCTGGGTGTAGCCTATAACCCGCCCCCACCCCCCAGGTGACATTTGAACAATGACTGTGGGGGAGATGAAGGAGTGAGGTATTGGCATTTTTCTGGGAAAAGTGAAGTTGGCAGAGGAAATAACAAGTGTACGGTCTCTGAGGCCAGACTGTGCCAGGCACTTTGGAGGGACCAGGAGTCCAGCGAATGCCGAGGGGAGAGGGAGTGGTGGAGAAGAGGGACAATTGAGTTCTTTCAGGACATTGCAGGTCACTGCAAAGATTTTGCAGGACAAATAAAGTGACTTGGTTTGAACCAGCATCGCCTCTGGCTGCTATGCTGAGAATTTACTCCTGGTGGAACTGGTGGGATGAAGTGAGGAAGCCACTGCCATACTCCGGGGACTCATTCACTTGATTCTATTCACTTTAGACAATACTGATTCAGTTCATATTCAAAATTTCCCCAGGAAGCCTTTTCTTTTTTCTTTCTTTCCTCTTTTGGATCACACCCAGCAATGCTCCTGGTTTTGCACTCAGGAATTACTCCTGGCAGTGCTCAAGTGCTCAGGAGACCATCTGGGGTGCCGGGGATCAAACCCGGGTTGGCCGCGTGCAAGGCAAATGCCCTACCTGCTGTGCTATCACTCCGGCCCCCAGGGAGCCTTCTTATCAAAAGAAAAAATAAAAAAAAGAGAAGCTTGGAGAGAAATAATAAAAAAAAAGAGAAAATCCTGAATTCATGGACTTCTCACTTGTTGCATTGAGCTTTCACCTCTATTTTTATCTAGGTAAGATGTTCTGTAGCACGTTCTACATGACGGATTGATCTGTTTTCAAAATTAGGTTTGTGTTAGCTTCATTTTTTTGGCTTGACTATCAGAGGGCTCATTTTACTTTCCCCATTGCAGGATCGACCCATTATAAAGGTGTTGCGGACCAGAGTATCTTTCCCTGAAAAGTGCTGTTTCCCCGCTTGAACTCTAATTGGGTGATACTTTGATGCCAAAACTATTGTGAATATACTACTGTCCGACCACCGCTGACCCTGTGGCGTCCTTGGCATCTAATACAAGTCTCCTAGAATCTCACCTTTTGTGACACTTTTGTCCCTTAGTTTGTTCATTATACTGTAAAGTTTCTTTGGTTTTGGGGCCACATCCGGCAGTGCTCAGAGCTTACACCAGGCTCTGCGCGCTCAGGAATATTTGCTCCCGGTGGGGTTTGGGGGGACCCTCGGGGGAATGCCGGCGATGGAACGCGGGTATGCAAGGCAAACGCTTTTCTGCCTGCGGTCCTATCGCTCCAGTCCGTTTGCTGGTTGTAGCAGGGGGTCCCCAGGGTCCCTACGGGACGCTCGCTGGGTGGATCAGTGCATACAATAAACGCACCCACAACATCAGCTAATACAGGACGAAGGCAGATAGGAAAGCGACCGAGGGCAGGGTGAGGCGTGCGTTCCACTTGCCCACCCTGCCGGACTGTCCAGCGAGCCAGGGAGCAAAAAAAAAAAAGAGTCCAAAGGCTCACGCTTAGGTAACGCTCCCGCGCCTCTGCAAGCAAGCCGGCAGCAAGGACTGAGCCGGGAGCCCGGAGCCGCGCAAGGCCCCCTGGGACCGGTAGTGCTGGGCGTGGCCTCGGGACTACAAATCCCAGCGGCCCCCGCGCCGCGGCTCCAGCCGCTGCCGCCTCTGCCCCTCCACAGCGACTCCGGCGGCGGCCGCGGCGGCTGAGTCGGTGGCGCCGGCGGCGGCGGCGGCAGCGGCAGCGGCGGCGGCGGCGGCGGCGGCTCCTCGGGCTCGAGCGGCGAGTTTCCGATTTAAAGCGGAGCTGCGAGGAAAATGGCGGCGGGCGGTGAGTGGCGGAGATAAAGGAGCGCGGCGGCGGCGAGGGGCGCAGCAGTGCGCGGCGGACGCTCGAGCGGCGAGTGCCCCGGGCTGCCGCGAAGCTCGGGCGCCGGCGGCTCGGCTGAGGGGCTGAGGTGCTGAGGGACTGAGGCGCTGAGGGACTGAGGCGCTGAGGGGCTGAGGCGCTGAGGGACTGAGGGAGCTGAGGGGCTGAGGGGGCTGAGGGACTTGAGGGGCTGAGGTGCTGAGGCGCTGAAGGACTGAGAGGGGCGCGCCGAGCGGGTGGGGGGCGCGCGGAGAGTTTCGGGGCGTCGCGGGGGGGGGTGCACCGGCTGTCGGCCGGGGAGTCCGGCTCAGGGTGCGGGGGTCCCCCGAGGAGTTGGGGGTCCGCTCTGCCCTCGCGTCCCTAAAGTTTTCCCTCCCCGCCGTCTTTGTGGGGGGCTGAGAGGGGGGCTGCGTTCGGAAGCGCCCCGCGGCCCCTTCCTCCTGCCGTCGAGGCGCCTTCGCAGTTACCCGGGAGCATTGGGGCGGGGGGGGGGGACGGAGGGGGGAGCCCCGCGGACCCCCGCCCGCGCCCCCCCCACCTCCTCCCGGAGCCGTCGCGGGAGCCGTTCTGCAGGTCACTGCCGGGGCAGGGGGGCGTGTGGGGGTCTTCTTGCAACTTGGGGCCATCTGGAATATAAAGATATATATATATATTTATATATATATTTTTTTGGTGACGAATTCTCTGCGAATTTCCATTTGGTTCTCAGCAGTTTTTTTTCCCCCTCAGGAAAAAACGCTTCCCCCCCCCCCCCCCCCCTTGCTGCCCCCGTCTTGCAGGCCAGTGTGGGGAAGTTGGGCGCATCGGCTCGGACGCCTCGCGCCCCGCTGCCCCGCACTGCCCCCTCGACGCCCCCTCGACGTGCGGCCCCTGGGTGGGGCGGGCACCCCGGGGTGGAAAAGTTTCCCCCCCCCCCCCCCCCCCCGGTTCACACTTGCGAGAGGGCGCAGGGCGCGGGGCTGGCAGCTCCCTGGCAGGCGCTGGAGATCCCCGAGTGCAGGGTCGGGAAAGGTGGGGAGCGAGAGAGTCTTCTCTCCCCGTCGAAACTTTTTTTTTAACCTCCACCCCCCCCCCCCCACCCATCTTTTTCTTCTTCTTTTTTTCTCTCCCACCTCTCGAAGAGGAGGACTTCCTTTTTTTTTTTTGCAGTCGATCTGAGCCGCGCTTTGGGCCCAACCTGTTTTTGTGATTAAAGCCGGTACCGTCCAGTCCAGAAGCGAGGAGGAGGAGGAGGAGGAGGAGGAGGAGGAGGAGGGCGAGGTCCAGGCGCCCGGCTGCTGCGGGTCTGCGTGGACTTGTGGTGGTCCGAGTCGTGCCTTAGGGCTGCTGCTGGCTTCTGGCGGGGCGCGCCGCGCTTCATTCAGATCCGCCTCCCTGGTCCTTGGCTTCCCCGGGAAAACGTCAGTATTTGTTGCAGCTGGTTAGTTTAGCCGAGGATGGGGACGACCCCCCTCACAGCCCACAGAACATCACGGGGTCTTTCGCGAGTGCCGCATTAAAAAACTCAGCTGCTTGACGAGAGACCTGCAGATCCCCCAATTGTGCCAGCAGATCATTCCCTTGCCGTGGTTTTCGCTGAGAGGTTCTAGCAGACGTGATGCCCAGTGGGAAAAGGTACAGAAAACATGGAGAGATGCGCCTCCTGCTCCTTCCTTAAACCCTCCGATTTCCCTCTTTCCCAGAGACGGGGGCTGCTTTTGGTGTCTAGTGTGTACTCCGGGTCTTTGGAAGGATTATGATGAGATTTTCATTTCAAGCGACATCCCCGATGGATAGCAAGAGCAGTAGAAGAACATAGCAGAAGAAAGGGGCGAAGCGCGTTGGGAATCCTGTCTTGTTTTTATTGTCTTAACAGCATGTTTCTCTCTCTAAGAAAAGCTCTTTCGAACTTAACTGCTTCTGGTGCCTTGTCTGCTCACGCCCTTAGAGGAATAATCTATCAGTGGGGCTTGAGGATGGAGAACCTTGCCAGGGTTCATTGTTTGTATGTAAGGCGAAGCCTGTGTTTGTAACATGTAAAACGATACTGAACACTATAGCTCCTGTCACCCGGAGGTTGCTTCAGGTTCTGCATTTAAATGAGCAGTTCTCTAGATTGTCTGTGAGTCCAAAATTATAGGGGTATTCTCTGTATCTGTAGAAAGGACTGAATCCTTCATTCTGCATTCAAGGAAGATGCAGACATCCGTTGTGATATGCAGAGGTGCATATTGGACAGGAGGATTGTGTGTTAAATGGGAAGCTCTAATCTTCGCGGAGTGCTATAGGAAATGCTCCTCCTGTGAAAAATTCCTTAACTAAAGAGACTTGGAACTGCAAAACAACCTCAACATAATTCTATTTTTGTTAAGCTCAGATGGATGTTTTAAGCCTACCAATACTAACAGTTCATTAAAAATAATTCAGTGATATTAGAGTTTAGGGAATCGTATTAATTTCACTACCCTTTGAAAGTATCCGGTGCATTTCTCCTCCTGTATGAGAATTGATTCTGCAATTCACCCCACCCTCTCTAAGCAAATAAGTTAGAATTTATTCAGTAAGGAGTGAGTGTTCTGTTGAACCATGACCTCTTTTATTTTCCCTCCAGGAACCATGTATGTAGAAGTTCTTGAAATGATTACTTATACTTCTTGCATTTTTTTTAAGCTAAGTTTACTCTGTCAGGGACATGTTAAATATAAAAATTATTTATTTTTTGGGTCACACCTGACAGTGCTCAGAGGTTACTCCTGGTGATGCACTCAAGAATCACTCCTGGTGGTGTTTTGGGAACCATATGGGATGCTGGGGATCGAAACCAGTTGGGTGCATGCAGGACAGGTGCCTTACCATCTCTCCAGCCCCTAAATATAAAAAACTAAAAAAAAAATGTTTTTTGGTACATTGGCAGTATGATTCTAGAATAAATCCTTTTAACTTGAAGACCACTTTGCTTTTGATATGTCTTTTAAAAAGATAATGAATTTAAAACAATTTTCCTTTGTATAATAGGGTAAGAGTAAAAACACCCAAAATAAACAACTTGAAATTGTTATTGTCCTGTCCCTTGATTAGTTGCTAAATTAAAATGACTAGGGTTTCTTACTTTTTTTTCAGACTAATTTCAAGTACTGACCAGAGGATGTGGTAAAATTTTGAAAACTTAAAATTTTTGTGCAGCCTCCAGTGGCTATTTACCTGAATATATAGCAAAGGAACCACCTTTTATGCAGTTGTTACTCTTTTAATGCTACCTACAAGAGGATGTTGATTATGATTGAAGAAGTTTGTCCTAGGTTAAACCAGACAGTACCTATCCTAGTTTGGTTTGTATTTACTGTATTCTGTAGTATAGAATAGCACTGTAGCACTGTCCTCCGTTTCATAGATTTGCTCGAGCGGGCACCAGTAATGTCTCCATTGTGAGACTTGCTACTGTTTTTAGCATATCGAATACACCACGCTTGCAAGGCTTTGCGGTGCAGGCGGGGTAGCTCAGTAGCTTGCCAGGCTCTCCGAGAGGGACGCAGGGATTGAACCTGGGTCGGCCGTGTGTAAGGCAAACGCCCTACCGGCTATGCTATCGCTCCGGCCAGTAGTATAGAATATTTTCCTAAAAATTTTTACGGAATCACTGTGAGATAGACCTTTACAAAGCAGTTCGTGATTAGGTTTCAGTCATACAGTGTTTAAGCACCCATTTCATCACCAGTGTACATTTCCCAGCACCTGTGTCCCCAGCCCCAATTCTCCTCCCATCACCTCCCTACCCCACCCCTAGCCTGCCTCTGTGGCTGGCACTTCACTGTCTGTCTGTCTGTCTGAATAGTCCCACCCCCCTTTTTTTTTTCCATTATTGAGTGGCTAAAGCTCTGGGAGCAGTCAACTTTTCCAATTCAGAGGACAGAAGTGACTAAGTGTTTATTTTTAACTGAAAATTAAAAAAAAATATTGATGAGACATTGGTTTATAATACTGTGTAAATTTTGGGAGCACAGCTGGTTTGCTGAGGTTTTGTGGGACAGTATAGTTGCAGTAAAATGTAGGCGTTTACTTCCATCTATCATTGTCTTTTGGGAGGGGATTACAAAAGCGAACATTTTACTGTGAAAGTGGAGGGAAGGGCTCTATGTAATGAGATTTATTCCTTCACTTTTTTAATGTTTGTGAGGTCAATTTTTTTTTTCCCATTGCTTTTTCTGACAGACTTTCTGGGAGAAGATTATTTTCAGTTAGGATGCTTCTTATTGAGAGCCAACCCTATTTTCAGCTTCTTAACAAATGATGGGATTGATTTGAATTTTCTCACCTTTCCCTCTCCTTCTTTCTGGTGGGGAGTTGTTAAATGAACAGGAAAATGGCCAGAAGATACACAGCAGGAGTAGAAGGAAGACCTCAGTGTGTAGAAGCTGATTTATCCACAGACTGAATGATCTTCTTCGACTTCTACTGCCAGTTCCCAACTTTGTTGCATTAATTCATCTTGGTAGGTTCTGTAGGCCTCAGTCAGTTTATAGGGGGCAGCCATGAAGGTTTATTTACTGTATAGTAAATGTTGGGAGCCTGACCTAACTGGTGAACATTCTCTATTTCACAGAGAAAATGGGTCAGTGTCTTTTCTGTTTATCCTTTTTTCCTTTTTGTTTTTTTGGGCTACACCCAGCCCTGCTTGGAGGATGGGGTCTGGAGGAGGGGAGAGGGACTATGTGATGCTGAGGATCAAACCAAGGTACCAGCATGCAAAGCTTGTGTTCCAGCCCTTTGATCTATATCCCTGGGCTTTTTCTTTCTCCCCCCACCCCCCAATTTTTCATTAGGAACATCTGTGGTCTAGTTTCCTTTGATGTTAACATTTATTTCTATAAAATATTTTGATTTAGGGGCTGGAGCAATAGCACAGCGGGTAGGGCATTTGCCTTGCACGCAGCCGACCCGGGTTCGGTTCCCAGCATCCCATATGGTCCCCTGAGCACCGCCAG